CTCAACTGATGCCACTCCTAGGCTTTAAGTTTAGCACAAAAACGCATGACCGCACTGGCAAGCCTGGTGCGTGCCTACCTAGGTTTTAATTGTTTGCTGAAGGTTCACTTAATTCGCATCTTAGTCTTGCTTTGATACAGCAATATTTTATTTTGCAAACTTCCCTCAACACTCTTATGTGAAGCACTTTTCAGCAGTTATTTTTGTCAGAACAATTTGTGCTGATTGTTGTCTTAACAAAAAAAAGCTGCCGTTGCCACGTAGTACAGACCACCTGTTCAGCTGATCACACCTTAACAAAAGCTTTCGGTGGCATCTCCTCGTCAACGGTGGTTCAGGATGGAGGCTCAAAATAATTCGAAGACACCGAGCATCAGCGTAGCCTTACCTTGTTGGGTCGAAGTGATGGATGTGCATGTCTTTTGGTTTGCACATTGCCTTACAAAGTGGCGAAATGCCTTTTTTGGCGCAGCACTCACTGTAGTCGTAGCTGATGTTCTCGTGGAAACCTCCTTTCAGACCACTTTCTGAAAGTGCAACATTTTTGTTTTATACATTAAAAAAATCACGGTAACTAGTCACTGACCGTTTTTTGCAAATGATGTAGATTTCAGGAAGGCGGTTGGGATCAATTTAGGGGTAAAGGCGTTGAATTTCAAACTGATGGTGTTAATTTTGAACAGTATCTCGAAGAATGCTAACTTTAATCAACTTTTTTTATTGCAAGCCGACAATTTCGACGTGGCGCTCGAGAACAGATTAAAGGCAAACCTAGAACTTCCAACTGAAATTCAAGCTGCTGCGGCTGATTCGATATTTGGCAGCGATAACGACCAGCATCTTCGAATGTGAGGTTTTTCAGAACGAGTGTGAAGTCTTCCGATGCACACTGGCAACATCGGTTATCAACACAATGTGACCCGTCCTTGCAAGACTCCGAATCCGAACAGCTACCCGTACATTCTGCAAATGTGCACCAATAACAACCACCATATTTTGTTTCTTAGTTACATTCTGAACTTTTAACGCAAGGGGCCCCTTCAGTAGCATCTTGCTTCTCTGCGATCGGTCAGCATTTTTTACCGAAGCACAACATTTTACAACGTCCTGAAGAATAGGAAGTAGAACCTTTATCTTTATCGATTTCGATATTATGTTGTAAAAATACGGAATTTGGATCCATGCCTGAGCTATCTAGAAATTTCGTTGAGTTAAAAATTGGCACATCATCTTTCAACCAGAGGACCTGAAAAAGAAAAAAAGCAATTAACTTTAAATTTTGAGTTAAATGCGCAGGCAAGTCTATTACAAAGGATTTAAAAATTTTTGTATAGAAGATTTGCTACTGCCATGAACTGCCCATAAACGCTTTCCAAAGACAAGGTCATCCATATCCTTTATACTGCCCACCCACATCTTTAAAAATACAGGAAAGGACCCGATTATGAGAGAGGCCACTTTCAAGCAGTGCAGTCTTATGGAGAGCATA